AATTCCCAAAAATCACCACTGTTGTGCCAATTGCGAAAGGCACGCGATTGACGTCGTTGCTTCGGGTAGTCGTAAGAAGGAGAGGACAAGCCGCTGACAATCGCTCTATCTAACACGATTTATTATTCTACAGCAGGCCTTCCCCGAAGTTTTTTTGGAAATGTTTATTGACAAACGGAATTGTCAAACGGTAGCTGAAGCACTGTTCACATAACTTACGGATTTTTATTCTGTAGACTGAGTTTGCATTTAAGTCAGCATTATTGCTGCAATGCTAGCAGTAAATGTTTTCAGATTTTGAACTAGCACAGCTAGTGTCTTTTACGTGTAGGCTAAGAATTTTAATTTTGAGTTATTGCACATTGAATATTTTGGTAAGTAAAATCCAACGTTTGTTATATACTAGATGCAGTAATTGAGGGAAACGGACAAAAATCTATTTAAACACCGTGCTCCAGGCAGCTTCAACAGTGCGAATGTTTACGTACCTCAGCTGGTACAATCTCACAAGTCCTATTTTTCTGCAACACCTTAATCAACGGGTGTTGTATCCCGCTACTAAAAGTAAACAAAGAATGCAGATAAAAGCAGCAAGCTGATGGAAACGGCGAATTTATCACTTAAAGGTACGAACATTGTCATTGGGGAAATTGGCGACTCATATTAAAATCCCGCCACCTTAACAGTAGCGTGTTACTATCTTTATATATTTTCTCAGAGTAAAATCTGAGAGGGATGTCTTTAGGAAGAGAACGGGCATAAGTGATTACAAAAATTTTCGTCCAGAAAATCGGCAGTACAAATTTGTCACATTTTCTCTGTTCGGATCGTCGTTTATTTGTCCGGTGACTTACTGTACTACTGCGAAACTCCCCGTCATGATGGGAATCTGGGATATTTCTCTGCTCTTTTGCGGAAAAAGATGAAATCCGTCAAGTTTAGACAGTTCAGTTATAAGATGGGCCCGAAATTTTGACGTCCCCAATTCTTGACGGATGGGCTTATTTTGAGCTATCGAGAGAACGACTATCACATGTACGAATTAGGGACAGACCTTAACCGTTTTGGCAAAGTAACACTTTCATGCACAGAGAGCCCATATTTTATCCTTCTGGGTGTGATTTTTGATCTGCTTTTGGCCTTTGTATTTGACCTTGAATACCGGGCGCGTTTTTCTAAATTGACAAGCGACCACGTAGCTAAAATTACTTTTAAGGTGCCTCGACTTTGTAATAAATCTGAGTTTTGCAGTGCATCCCCACAAAACAACAAGCATGGTAAAAAACCATTAATTATCATTCATTTTTCAAAGGATTACTACGGTTTTTTAAAATTAAATTTGACCTCAAACCTTAGTAATAACGCTAGCTGCTATATGATTTGTTATATGTTCTAGCACTTGCTCGGCTGTCGAATTATACGCGGAATGTGGGATGACCCAACCGTTTTTGAAATGTGTAAAATCATTAAAAGTAGTTTCGTAATTTACTTGACTTGGCAGCACTTGACAAAGCAAATACCAAAGAACTTGAGAAGGTTTTAAAAATTTCTTTCCTCAGACGCCTTAGAAGATCTGTACACCTTCGCCGTCCCGACAGCCTGTTTCGTTTTAAAAACATGCTTTTCAAAGTCACTCAGTGTTTTTAAATTTTACGAATATCGGTACAAGCGAAGATGCGAGTTCCAGGAATTAGCTGATAAGAAGTGGAAGCGATCGCTGGAACCGGAGCTTCGTTCGCTTGATGGTTCAGATTCACGCTGGAGGGGTTCGAGCGTGGATCCAAAACGTCGGGAGAATCAAACCCTTGTTCCAGTGATCGCTTCCACTTTTACGAATGTTTCTGTGCATTTAGCTCACCAATCCCATTGGGCATTTTTCACATCTTAACTTTTTTTTTATTAGTTGAAGGAAGCTTGTTGAGTATATAGGACGGCAGGATTAAAAGCCATTTATGTGCTCTTGACTAAATGTCCTTACGCGTGGAGCTCCAGTATATTGCATATATAATAGTGAGAGGACGCTCACCGATCGCTCTTACGGAACTCACTCGTTCCGTTGTGCCCTGGCACTTTCTCTCTCGAGCCCAACTTGCAGCCGCACAGCGGCGCATAACATAGGCAGAACACTATTGCCGACAAAGACAAAGGAGACTGGAATGGCCATTTCTGGCTACTTATTGATGCAAATCAATGCTAATTGAATCGTTGTATCAACACTGAATCTACGCTCTCGTTAATAGTGTGAATGCAGCTTCAACATCACGGAGACTTTGTCTACACGTCTACAGATTCGAGGTCCCGACTAAAAGATTCAGCAGGAGAAGCAGACTTAGTGAGCATTTTATGCGCCTCTGGCGACTGTAAGGCACTTTTAAACTGTTATCAGAAGGCAAAAAATCGCATTTCAGACTGTCAGCAGTGACTGAAAATAACCAATAAACCTTCCGGTTGTTGTAGCGCGCAGCGTTATCTCGAGTAAGAATCCCATTCCTGAGGAGTAGCACATTCCATGCTTGATTGCTCCTCAATGTATGACGGCCATACGGGTCAACGCCTGGACGCCAGTATTAACGAAAACAATCGGGCCGTCCATCGGCAGGACCCTCTGTTCGACGGCCTTGTGCATGCACTGGGAAGTGACCATTGCTTCAGTTAAGAGCATATAAAAGTAGTTGAAATGGCCGAAGCAAAACAGGCAAGGGAACTTATAGAGGTTTGGTAGTTCAACACAGTCAGAATTGGTCACTATGTAGACTCGCATGTACAGTGCGTGACCAATCTCATGAAATGTTAGCCGAAATTCTGAAATGCGTTTTCGATTAGGAAGGATTAATTAGGTGGATTTGCAATACTGACTAGCATGCAGCGTAACCATATAACATTTCGGACTCGACAGAATATCGGCCTTTGAACGCACCTAGTTTTTGCCTCCTGCAGAAACCGCACTTAGTAAAAAGTGACTACTTATGTAGCCTGCATTTTTCCTATTGATTCTCGATGGTTTTTCAAATATATTTCATAGAAAAACGAGCACAAGCATATGCCTTCTTTTACTCTTTTGGTAGAAAATGATATGGTCTTCATAGTATATACCACAAAAAAGTGTGTATTTAGGCTTTAAAAAAGTTCCTAATTATGAGATTTCTAGGACCGTGTGACGTCTAGCATACAGGACCGCACATGTCCTTTTACCAATGCTATTCATGAAATGTACGACACATTCCGGATCCATTGCTAAATCTTATGAACTCTACATTGTATCTTCTTTAGGACATGTAGGAGTATATGATTTTTCTTACGCTCAAAACATGTCCCTTGTAGACTGAAATTGCTAAACGCCAATACAATGACAGATCAGACTCAAAAGTAGTCGGGAATTGGGAAACTTTTTTAAAACCCAAGCACACATTTTTTTCTGGCATAGACTATGCAGACCATGTCATTTTCTACGAAAAGAGTAAAAGAAGGCATATTTTTATGCACGTTTTTTAATGAAATATACTTGAATTTATAAGACCATCGAAAATCAATAGGAAAAATGCAGGCTACCTAAGTAGTCATTTTTCATCGAGTACGGTTTCTGCAGGTAAAATATGGGTGCATTCAAAAGCCGACATCCTATTGAGCCCGAAATGCTATAGGGTTACGCTGCATGCTAGCCAGTATTACAACCCCACCTAATTAATCCTTCCTAATCGAAAACGCATTTCAGAATTTCGGCTAACATTTCATGAGATCGGTCACGCACTGTACACACGGCTCACCGACTTCCTGCGCTCATCCAAAATCAATGACAACTAATCCGCTTGCCCGCGGCACTTCGGACCGTCGACTCCCCCTCCACCAGCACTGGGAGTCGTGAACGTACTCCCCTCCCCTCGCCCATCTCTTTCACGCACCGGTGATCTGTATGCGTAACGCTCCAGGGTGACAGTCTCCCCTTCTCTCTCTCTCTCTCTCTTCCTCATTAATTCTGTTTGACGATGTCTCGGTGTCGCCAACTTGAAAAAATTACGAGCGAAACTTTAGTTCTCTCCGAAGAAACCGTCTTCTTCATTATATCGGCTCAGAATGCGCGTCGGTTCAGTTCAGAAATATGTGAATGCTTAGGAAATTCCTATTTTCACCTAAAAAGTTAAAACTCAGACCTCCGGAAATAGTTAAGTGTATTTCGAATAATTTGCAGGATTTGCGAACATGGTCAAAAAACCCAGGGACGTTTACGCACATATACTTGTATCCAGAAAAATAATTTCTACATTTGCCAATCCGTAACAATCTCTTTTGTAGTTTTAAAATTTCGCGAAAACCTAATTTCCGGAAATACGGCCATAAAAGTGCACTTTTGCGTGTTACTTTTTGGGGAAAAAGTATATAAATTAAGGCACTCTGTTTTACATGCAGAAAGACGGCATGTCTCGGTGCATGAGAGCATTTGGGGCAATGCTGCATGCTTTTTGGTCTCTCAATCCCATTAGCTATGATTCTAAATCAGGCAGCTGTGTAAAAACTTCTAACCCTCACGCAATTCGGCCCCTATTAATGTCGGTGGGAGGTTTAGCAGAGAGCCCACTGTAGTAGAAGTCAGATAAGACTAAGCATCTGGGGCTCTAAACGTTGGCCAAGGCGCAACCTGAACGCAAAATAAAGTCCAAACATATGGCGGGTCATGTGAACTGAGATAATCCAATCACGATCAAACAGCCTATCAGCTGTGGCCCAGCGCTTGCACATATGTTCTCTGACTGCGTTATTGTAGACATATAACAGGCTCAGGTTGAAAGCGCAATCATTTGTGTTCCAGTGGCAAAATCGCATCCGGCTAAAAAAGGCCGAAATTTGAGTCAGTCCCCAGCGGGACCATACTACCCACGTTTATTGGGATTTAACAAGTCAAAAAGGCCTGAATCGCCTTAAACTCTTTCCGAATTTATGCCATATCCTTTGGAAACTCCCAGGCCCCTTAATGGATCCAAATGTTTTCAAGGAACACAAATGGAATGGGAAGTTTCCTCTGCGTTACTGAATGTGCTTTCGTACAAAAAGTATCTTGAAACATTCCGTATCATCTAATAATTACAAAGAGTTGCACTACTGCCGAAGCCTATGACTGCAGGAAATCCGTCTGGCCAGATGGAAAGCAAAACCAACCCCTAGAATTCAAAGAAGACGTTGCCGCTGCTGAGCTCTCGAGTTCACGCTTGCTGGCTCTGTAAATTGACTTATTCTGTCTTCTCAAACCAAGCGTTTTTTCAGGAGGAATTTCATGTTTCTGAAATATACAGTCGTAAACTTACTTCTAGTCAAATAGGATGTTTTTCGGACGTAAAACTCTCCGTTGACCCTGTCTGCAACTCCACACAGAGTTTTTGAACAGGATAATCTTAGAGAACCCGACACTATCACATCCAAAGAGCCGGATTTACTAGATGTCGTTCCTTTGATTCCAGGTACGGAATGGCCCGTATTCTGTTCTTTGTGATCTCTGTGGGGGTTGTCCAATCGATCCAAGTCACAAAGTCTGGGCCATAGGTTTTTGAGTGAAGATACCCTTTGTTTTTCCACTTATTTTAACTTAATGTTAAATATTATTTTCTATCACAGAAATCCGGGTGTCAGGTTAAAGATATTGGTTACTAAAGCCTGGCTGTTCTCGCGTAAAACTTGCTCCTGAAAATTTGGACTATGCAGTTAATTTTCTGTTGTGGTGTTCTGGTGAACCTCTACTCATCTGATGACAACTGTATGATTCAAGAAAATACCATAATATGCATGAAGGGATGAGGCGCATTTCCAAATGGGCTCACCTGTCCCAAATCTGATCACCCAATGGTCGTAAAAGGCATGTGAAAAAATTGATTAGGATTTTGCGGGATACCACACTGACGGCCAATATTTTCTGGTCCTAACTAGCGTCGTAAAATCATTATTCGCTGACGAGGAATTGCGCAGTAAGATCTGCTTATTCTAACAACCTACCAGTGGAGGGGATTTGGGTGCGATGATGATGTCTGATATGAAGGGTGATACGTCAGTAAGATGAGGAAGGCCAGCGCTACGTAGACAGCCTTTGTGCTCAGCGCACGTCCGTTGGCTGATATGACGGAGTGAAAGATAGCAGCTGCATTCGTACCCAGGTCATTGCAATGGCAATAAGTTATTTTTGTAAACGTGAGCTTACAGTAGGTGAGCTAACTCATGAAATGTTAACCGAAATTTCGATATGCGTTTTCATTTTGAAAAAATTAATTAAGTAGGGTTGTAGAACTAGTTAGCCTGAAATATAATTCTACAATATTTCAGTTACCTCAGGATGCCGGCTTGCGAATGAACTTCCTCCCGGCTGCATGCAGAAAACTACACTCTGTAAAAAATGACTACTTAAGTAGCAGAACTTTTTCTCATTGATTTTCGATGCCCCTAAAAGTCCAATTATATTTCATGGAAAACCTGAATAAAAATATTTATTCTTTTGCTCGTTAGGTAGATAATTACGTCTTTTTCTAATTTTATACTCGGAGGGGCATAATTCGGTTTTCAAAAACTTTTCCAATTCCCACATAATTTTGAACCCGCTCTACCTTTACACTTGGATTCAGGGTATCCAATCTACAAGCCGTTTATTTTCCGTGTGCGGAAAACCACACATTTCAGTACGGTTATAAAGGGAGACCATATAGGGTTCATAAAATTTAGCATTGGATTTGATCCATATTGTTAACTTTACAGGCCACATTGGTAAATACAGACACATGACAATTTATGAGCGGCCATTTTGCGGTATTTAAAAGTTTCCCATTTATAAACTGTCTTAGAACCGAATTATGACAGACAACTTAATTCGCCATTTGAGCCGGGAGGGGTGGAAAGGGCAGATGAATAGGTGGGATGCCGTCCTCGAAAAGGTAATTTAACAGACAAAGAAATGTTTTCGACTGTTTATCCGGTCTCTTGGAGTCTGTTAGGACACAGCTGTCTCTCATTGCTTATTTTTCAATGTTGTTTTCTTCAATGCAACTCCCAAAGAAGTTCGGTAAAAATATTCTCAGCTACATTTGCACGGCTGCAATTTAGAAGGCGGGACTAGGATAACTTAACAGCCGGCAAGTCTGAACTAACTCACTCTACAGCATTTGTATCAGCAACAAACTAGGCGTGACTGCATATGCGAATTCCTTGTCGGTAGTTCGACTAACTCCCACAAAAATCCAGTTATAAAGGAGATACGCATCATCCGACTCAACAGCCGACCTTCAAAACTGGTTTAAACAAATTGGAAAGTAAAGGAGTCTAGAGGGTAGGAAAGCCTGTATAGTTTTATTTACTTTAAAATCCTTCAAGGGTAGAAATTTTCAGACAAAGTTTCACTTACTGAAATAAACACTCTCACGATTTAATTCCAATAGGATTTCGGTTATCTTAACTCAGTTCCATTTATAATGCTGTTTTCTTGAACGTGAAAATCCGCAAACTTTCGCTTCAGTCTGCGCTTTATTATGAAATTGTTCACTTCGCATGTCACTATTCAGCGCCAAGAAAAGACAGTATTCGGATGCAGAAGTGTTCCGAGAAAAGACGGGGTGGGGCGAAAATTCCCACGTTAATACGCAACATTTTTCTCGGGCGAGTCTTGCAATGTGAGTTCTAGCACTACCCTGCAAGTATTTGTTTGGACAGGGGAATAGGAGCCCCGCACTGCAAGTGGCCATATGCAAAATTCAACTCTACCCTGCCCGCCCTTAACCCTAACACTAATCCCAGCCATAACCCCTTGAATTTAGCGCAAAGGCTCCTCATTTCTGTGCCGTACTCACACGTTCTTCCAATCAAATAGTCCTGGTTGTTTCTAAAGTACATTATTCTCCGTACGTCCTAGGCGCATAGAATGCATCTAAGTCTTGTCCGTCCGGACTTTATCGAAAAACTCGGGATGGACAACGCTACCGGCCATCCACTTTACAGACTTAACTGGCTATGGTGGTGTTGCGGTGTCTTTGAAGTGTGAGGGGATGGATTACTTAGCGACTCAAGGACTCATTTTTGCCACAAGCAGGCAAACACACAAAATGATGTTTTCTATTATGTAAAAGAACAAATGCACAAACTGCCACTAATTGGGGCTCTCTTTTGCCTCTTAATGAATACGTGAGCCGTACGCTCATCTCCCATGATTTACCCGCTCAACATACAATGAGTGACCGATCTCATGAAATGTTGGCTGAAATTCTGAAATGTGTTTTCCATTAGGAAGGATTATTTGGTCGCGGTTGTAATTCTATTATCTTGCGGCATCATCCTACAATATTTCGGACCCGGCAGGATGTCAGCTTTTAAATACAGTGCTTTTCAATCTCCTGCAGAAACCGTACTCGGTAAAAATGACTACTTAAGTAGCAGACATTTTTCCCATTGATTTTCGTTGGTCTTGCAAATTCAAATATATCTTATAGAAACCATGGACAAAAATATGTTTTCTTTCAGTCGCTTGATAGAGAATCACGTCCTTTTTATATTTTAAACTCGAAGAAGAAGTATAGTTGGGTTTTTAAAAAATTTCCTAATTGCCGAATAGTTCGGAGCCTGATCAGCCGATGCACCAGCGCTTAATGATCCCAATCTACAAGGTGCATGCGTTCCGCGTAAACAAAGCCACATATTCTTCTCTGCCTTTAAAAAGACCTCATATAGAGTTCGTTAAATTTTACGATGGATGCGGGCTATGTTATACACTTCATAAGGAGCAGTGGTAAACGGACAGGTAAAATGCTATGTGAAAGGATATTGCGAAATCTTAAAAAATCTCATAAATAGAAAACTGCTCACTGCAATTGCGCTGAAGCGTTCTAAGCAGGCCACTTGTGCAATGGTCTTATGTGGTTTGGTACCCCCACCTGAAGGAGAAACACCCCAGTCACCTCTATTACGGAATCAGTGGTAGTAGGGGTTTTTACAGATGAAGCCGGGGAATGCACAGGCAATGAGGTCAAGTAGTTGTATGCTAAATAAAAGCTATCGAGGGTGCGTAGTTGTACTTTTAATGATTGAGAAATAGTTGCACTAATCCCTAACTATAACCCCTTATCTTAGACCCCAACCGCTGACTCTAACCTTTAATCCTAACCACTAACTCTTATCCCCAGCTATAACCCCTAACTCTAACCCCCTCCCCCAACCCTAACCCTTAATCCCAACCCCAACAGTATTTCGTCCATCAAGTGGGGCTATCAAACCACACATTACCCAATTTTTTTTCCAAAACGTCCCTTAAATCTTCGTAATCAGCAACTGAAGGTCTTTCTGGCCGTGGTACCACCCCAGAACATTCACTAGCAGAGTCAATTCTCTCAGAAGCCCTCCTTAAATTGCTTCAACAAACTTTATCCAAGGTTGAAATTCATAAAAATCGAACACTCGTTTTGAGGGGGGGGGGGGGGAAACACTAACAGAGAAACAATGCCACCAGAATTGGTCCATTTAACTGACACATGCCAGCGACACGTCATACAAATCAATACTTGGACTCGACAGGTCATCGCAGCTAATTCCAGCTGAAACCACGCGGGTTTTTTCAGTCATCTGACACATTTTTTCGGCTGGTAACTATCAAGTGATACCGATGTAACTCGTGGTGTCTTTTGTCTGCTCAAAAGTCCATCCTCCTTTATTTGGTATTCACCCTCCATCGTTAGATCAGGCTTTACGCATCTGCGTAAGTCCACTGCGAAGTGCGTACATGGAAGCCCTTTAGCGTTCTGCATTCTCTCTGCGCCGTATCATTATGTTTTCCTTCCGATGCGTCCGTCTGGAGTGGGTAAGTTGTCCTTACTGTGACAGCCTTCTTTTCTCCCTGCCTCATAAGCCCACCTCCACTCTGCCACTCTTCCCCAGCCTCCCCCCCTCCCCCGTTTTCGGCCGGGAGACAGTCTTGTCCAGACGTCTAGGCTGTCCAGTCCATTAAAACTTTAATTTCCGTCTTGGTGATTACCCCACGGCGGGTTAACTTCCGCTACATCGTCACTCCTGTTGATTGGTTCACCGAGAAGCTGCGTGAACGTCTCATCAGGCATGCGCTCGCATGTGTTTCCCGTAAGTTGTAATTGCCAGCAGGGGATCTCACGCACGTCTCAGACAGGTGTGTGGGACAGCTACAGCACCTTTAAAACAGCGTCAATACTTCATCTTTTTCAGCTGCTAGTTGAGGGGGAGAGCACACAAATGAACGATGAGATCAGATCCAAGCAACTAGTCAACAAACTGACAGCCGGCAACTAAGAGACACCCAATTGGATCAGCTCGCAATTAGTTCAAGTT